AGAAAAAAATGTGTAAAACAGACTGTTGCTGTTGTTTAATACTTGTAACTAATGTGTACTTAGCTTGCATTTTCTTGTTTTGCTCACTGTTTCATCCAAGTGCTACCTGATCATAGAAAATTGATGAGTTTCTTACTCACAAAAAAAAATTGTGCAAAAAGCCAAACAGCTTTACATAGGTGACCTCTGTAAATATGTATTCTGTGTGATAGAATTCTGATTTTTTTATAAAAGACAGATTTTTTTCATGTTTATTTTCATATTAGATTCCATAGAAATTTAAAGTCACATAATGCTCATTAATAATATAACTGATAAAAATTTGAATCTGGATATATCTGGCATTTCACATAATTTCACATGCACTGAATTTCATGAAAAAGCCATGTTACTAGTGATAGCAGTAAAAACAGTAATTAGTGGATAGTAGCAGACAAGCATACATGCTACACTGTAAGAAACATTTGTACTTAGATTGTAAATATGGATAATAAATAAAACGCATTTGTCAAGGTATTTCTCCCTTGCTTTCTCCCTTTCTCCTTTTCTCCCTCTTTCTCTCCATCCCCTGCCCCCCCGTACAATTCTAGAATAACAAATTCTAGAATAACAAATACACCTCACAAAGGTAGTGTACCTTCAGGTTTAATAACAACTCACTAAATTTTTAAAGGAAGGAATAATCTGCAGCGTGCTCACTCTGTGCATAGGTATCATAGTCACCCTACCTCAGGTGCTTAAGATGTGTCAGACCAACTCTCCACTCTGTTGCAATGGTTTTATACTCATGCTTATCATCAGAAGTCATTTGAATGATTATCAGCATCTTGTGGCACAGTGATGAGTTGTTCTACAGTTGCATTCAGAATCATTCCCTCTTACACTTTTTTCATTTCTGAGTATAGAATGGACAGGCATTTCTCTTGTTGTTGCTCTTTCTTCCCTTAGGAGTTTGGTAGAAGTGATAGGTTATATTCGGCTTACTGTTACCTGCTCACCTTTCATGGCACCAAACAGAGAGGAGGAGCCTCAGTTGCATCTGTGAGATTTGCTTCTTGGGACTGTGATGCATGGGTGCAGCAAATCCTTATGTGCTGGGTCAGGTTTCTGACCATCATGCTGCATGAACTCTTTCTTCATCAGTGTGGGTGGCAGGTCAGGATATTTACCTGCATCTCAGCCACCACAGTGGCCCACATGCATATAAGCACACTCTCCTTTTTCATGCTTTTAAATGAATACACCAGCCTGTCAGTCGAGGTAGTCATAAGGAACAGGCAAATTTTTGTTACATATAACAGTAACATCAGGCAGGGTGTTGGGACAGTCATCAGTCCCAGCAGCCTGCAGCAGCATCCATCTGCCAGAAACTCGGGGTGCAGTTTTGCATTACGGCTAGGACAGTCATGTGTCAGGTACTGCAGCTGGCTTTCTCACTTTTCCTTATTCTGGTTTGGGGATTTTTTTTTTTAAATTGTATTTTTTTATTGTATTGTATTGTAGCCTCAGGGTGAGACTGTTCATCCAATTTCATGCAAAGGAAAACTCTTCGTATGAATTTGCTTATTAATTGTTTGCAGAGCAAATTTTCTGCTGGATCAGCCAGGTAACTGTTGATGGATCAGGTACCAGGCGACTGGCCATGCATGCAGCTGGGATTAGTGGCAGTGATGGAGCTCTCACTTTCAGATAAGTTGGGACATGATGTGAAACAAATGCAGTCCTGGTCACTTTAACAATGTGGTCTTGAGACAACTTTGGTCCATACAAAGTGATACCACTTCCATCCTGAGCATCTTGAATGATACCACTCCTGGCTGCTTGCCTTGTTTCCACTGCCACAAGCACCTTTGCTTTTCTGGTCCTTCAGAGAGTGAGGTCAGGGCGCTAAACCAGCAGGAAAATATTTGTGCTTTTTATAGTATCCCTCTGCTGATATAAGAGATGTCAGACATTTGATAAATCTCCATTATGCATGAATCAGGAGTCTTCTGTCTTTCACAGTATATGACAAGAGAACACACGTAAGTCCATCTGTCCAAGGTCCTATCTGTACAAGTAGCCCTTGTCCTGAGTACAGTCTTGTTAAGCATCTAGAAGACTTTCCTTCCTCAGATTCGAAAAAATAACTGGGATTTAAAAAAGAAGAATTCTGCTTGTGCTCTGTTTCTTTCTCTAACCCCTCAACATTTCCTCATTATACGTTTTCAGCGTCTTAAGGATTTTTGTGGTTTATTTCTGGTTTTATCTCTTGTGTTTCAGTTGCGATCAAGCTCAGAGCTTGGCCAGGACATCCTGAATGACTGCCTTGCAATCCAGCCCCTGCAGCCAGCCCCGTCACCACATGATGCTACAGATAATACCATGGGACACTCCCCGGGCCCTGCTCATGATATTTATCCAGGTAGTGAAAAATACAGATAAATATTATTGCTTATTGGGATGATTTTGCAGAGTAGGATGTACTGAAATATCCATGAGAAGGATAGAGTCTGCAAAGCAATATAAAAAACCAGATTTTTAACAGATTTTTACATGTTTTTTGAAGGAAGGCAGGACAAATCAGATTTATCCATGAGAAGACCTACTGCAACAAAGAGCAATATTTTTGCTCTATAGGCATTTGACTTCTGCCAGCAATTCAGCAATATCCTTGTAGATATCTTGAATTTATTAAGATTCATTTAAAATCAGAGGAGTGTTTTTCCTCTTCCTTATTTATAGATCATGTATCAGTTTTCCAATACATCTGCATTAATGAACTTAATGCTGCATTATAAGCTCTCATGTTATGACTATAAATACAACAATAAACACATTTATGCTATAAATGTGATAATCCTATTTTATTGTTTCAGTTAAGCATATGAGATTTTCATACTAAAATACCTAACTCCTTCATACCTGGCTAAATGTACGATTGTTGTTCACATTTCAGCTAAATTTGAAATATTTTATAAGATATGAGTGATAATACATCTCAGAGCTCAAGACAATAATGGGCAGGCTGTTAACATTTTTTAAGGCAATATTTTAGTAGTTGTAGAGACGTCTGTTTCTAACATTCAGGCAGAATGTGCTACATCTTCTAGCAGTTCAACTCTTACTCGAGAACCTGATGTAGGAAGTGAAAGAATTGGCTAAATGTTATGTGCAGTGCTGAAAATGACATTATATGAAGTGGCCATTTTAGTGAGTGGTGTTATTTTACCGAGAGGCTTGTAAACCTTTCCATTCTACAGTATGTTTTTGTCAAGGCCGTTGTGAACTACACACTAGCTGGTGATGATGTAGGTTTATATGACAAAAATCAAGAAATTTAAAGCTGTGATGGAAGGTATCCTAATTTATAAAATAGTTGGTACTTCTTGTATGCTGTTAACTTTCAAATGCCCTAGTCTGAATATAGGCTGAGTGGGGCATCCATTATTTGACACTAAAGGAAATTTCAGATTTTAAAGGTCTGATTTTGGCCAGAGAACGTCTAGTGCCATGGTGGTGGTTACAGTTGCTTATTTTATGTTGTACTTTGAGAGGGATTTGGATAGTGAGGAATGTTCAGATTAAAAAAATTATTTACTGACATTGCCTGATGTAATGCGCAAAACTGAGAGAGAATAAAAGACTCAGCTTTTCCTTTTCCTTTCAAGTCCCTAGATAGGATGGAAGCCAGGTGGAGACAGTGTGTCAGATGATCTGAGATGAGGTTTTTCAGAAATTGAGGACCTTCTCACAGGAGATTTCCTCTGGAATCTGTTGAGCACCCAGCTCTTTTATCAGTCTAGCTTCCAGACTTCCATGATTGTCAAATTCTGGCTGTTGGCTCAATCCAAACCTAGACTGACAGTGGCTTGAACAAACTGCTGCTCGGTGAGTTGCCAGGATCCTAAGCCGAGTAAGGCTGTTGCCTCCAGCCAGCCCTCAGATGGCAATTGTTGGCAGTCGTGATGTCTCATATACAGCTTCTGAGACTGTGGCATTACTTTTTGTAATCCCATTCATGCTTTGTCTTTCAACACTTGGGGTTTACATCACCACCATCAACATTCTTTGCTATAATAAGTTACGTTGGTTTTTTTCTTACTTGGCACTGTTTCCTATTGTGCAGCAATTTTTATAGTATAAATGAACATACTTTTGTCAGCATTAATTTCTCTGTAAGTAATAAACTGCTTTCCCTTACATGTGCTCACAGCTAACTATAACTTGGCAGTTTTCTCATAGTTTTATTCACGTGTGTTGTTTCACATCAGTTAACTGAGGGTATTATGTCAGGCATAGATGAATCTGTGTCACTTCATTTTGACAACCACCCAATCCAGTTGAAATTAACTGTTTCACTAGTAACTCATCAGGGCTGCTACACAATAATATACTGTGTGAATGAGTAGATAACTCCAACAGGGAGGGAGATACTTTATTGAAATGGCAACATGAAAATTATTTATACTCAAAGGAGAGAAAAACAAATACATGAAAGCTTAAGTGTCTTGCTTAGAGAAGCTACCCCTCAAACTTCTCTGAAAACAACATTTTTTCTAAATATAAAGAAAAACTTTGAGACTTTTCTGAAAAATAAAATATGTGACTTTTACTGGGAACTGTTAGAGACAGCATATTAGCTGAAATGTCTGTGCTATTTTTCATGTAGCATTCTTCCAATGCTGTTGAATCAAACTTTTCTCACTTGAAGATTACGTTTCTTATAACTCATGCACATTTCAAGGAAAGGTAGGTTTTCTCCTTTCCTAAGAGATCTACAGAATAAATGTTTGAAAGCAAACTTTTAGAAATATGTCAGAGATGACAAAGGTAGGCAATTAGATGCTAGTCCATTTCCACTTACCAAAGTACAAAAATGCCTGTAATGATCAGCATTTCTCTCTACTGTTTAAGTACAGAATCTGCAAACCCAGATATATCCAAATGAAATACAATAATAATATTTTTGATTACATATCTATTACTTAAAGTTAAGACTGCATAAATGTTTTTTCTTATATTGTGGCCTTTTGACTTTATACTGAGTATAATCTTACGGATATAGTGGCGTAACCTGACAGATCCTTTGCTTAAAACTAATAGAAAATTCCACATACAGGTCTAAAGTTAAGCAAGTATGCATACTCTTCTAGGGCTAAGCATAGTGATATTTTGTAAAGCAGAAATTCAAAGTCTGTTTCTACTGAAGTGCACAATTTCTGGTAGCATCTAGGTTTTAATTTTAAAAATAGTTTTAGTTTTTAAAAATACATAGGCTTTTGGGTTTATTGAGTTCATAGAATGAAGTTGTGAGCAATTAATTCATAATAAGAATATGAATGATGCTTTTTCTACTATGAAATCATATCAACTTACTTTGTATAGTGCAGTCTAGAATCCTTAAGGCTGAAATAATCATAAATAATGCAATACAAAAAATATTTATTTTTACTGTGATGTTTGGTTAAAACTTGACCATTTCATATTTAAGAATAAACCAGAATGTTTCATCGATTTATAAATAGTTACCGAATATCACACTTCGCTCTGCTCCAGAGCAAGAAAATGGTATTGCTAAAGCTTGTCAAGTGCATGATTTTCTTTGCAAGTTGGAAATTAAAAATTGTATCAGGAAAGTTACAGAAGGTTTTGGAATTCCAAGTACATTTTAAATAATGTCTTATTTAAATACTTCTGTGAAACTTTGATCTAACTACTTCTATGCCTATGACTTAAGACGTGCTTTACTTAAGTAACACTTTTCCTTTTGTGGTTTTGTTTTTTTTTCCAATGAAATAGTACTGAGGTTGGTGCCCCACACACATAATAAAAGAAAATTCATTGCCAAAGGAGTTTATAACAAAGATGATAGGGCAGTAGGTAGATAGAACAGGCAGGTGGAGGAGGGAGGACTCATACAAGAACAATGAAAGAATTTTATTAAAGCAGTTGTCCCAGTGAGTGAGCTCCCTAACCATTAGGCACCATGAGCAGCATGGGAGATGTCTGAGGAAAAAGCAGCCTGTTTGTTAAAGTTGATAGCCTTGCAAAGTAGTTACGACTCATTACTGGAAGAAAAAAAAGAATGAGAAGGAAGAACTGAGATATGAATGACCACTGCAGTGAAAAATGGAGTTGTATTCGATGCATAGGGAATGGATGCAAAAGAAGGAGTAACATAGGGTAACCAACAATTAAGAGGATCTCTGCTGTCACCTTTTTGGCTCAATTTGAGTATGGCATACATATCCAGAGCTCCTACTAAATGTGATGTATTACCAGGTAGGACCATACACAGGGGCTGAAAAGTGTTAACATTACTATCTTAACTTATTTTAAGGAGGGCAGTTTATTTCCCTTCAGACTTGTACTTTTTTTGACTGGTTTTACTTCTGAGTTTATCATTTCCATTTTGAGACAGCTTAATGGTTCTCCAAAAATTGGTGTAATCGTTGGGTTCACATTGTGAAGAAGAGAACATTCACTGATGAATTGGTACAAACATTGTAAGCAACAAGGCAACTGCACTATTTATGGTTCCTTTCTTCATGAGGAGACACAACTTCAGAAACTGCAGTCCACTGAAAGAGAAGAATCTGTCTTGAAAGGCAGGGATGCGATGTAAAGATGCCATGGCAAGAACAACTTCAAATCCCAGTCCAGACCCCACTTTATTGCTTCAGGGATTTAATTATGACTTAATCTCAAAAAATACAAAAGTTTCCAGGATGTCCACCTTTCCCACCTAATAATCAGTCCAGCTGCCCATCATTGTATGTATCCAGCAACAAGACTAGAAAATGTTTATCATGTCCAGCTCAGAGAAGAGATCAAAGAATGTTCAAAAATTGAACCACACACTTTTTCTTATTGATATTATAGGCTGCTTTGGGAATAACTTGGGTAGCAACTGGGAGGCTTTTAGCAAGCACCATTTCATCATTTTTATCAGAGGCCTATGATTACCTATAAACTAACTCAGATTTTTATTCTGACTCGGCTGGTAATTCTTCAATCACTTTCTTAATTTTCCTCTCCTATTTTCTGTACTGTGGAGTAGGGGGAAAGATTCTTAGTAGATGGTGTGGTGTCCTAGGACAATTTTTACATGTGGAAGATCTTTACCACAAAACAACTTTATGTTTTAACCATTCAGATTCCTAAATATTTGAGGTAAGGGATCTCAAAAGACAGAGATTGATTGAACAGGTCTCCAAGTAACAAGACCAAATTACTGTACAAATTCTTTTCCTAGACTTGTTTTCTTCTTCTATCCAAGTATCTTGAGTGGGTGGACTTCATAAACTCTCTAGCTTTCTAGGTGCCTCCAGTACTTGGACATCTCCAGTATCTCTGATCTGCCTGCAGAACTTCTGAAGAAAAGTAGGGAGACCATCAATGCAGATAGTCCATGCAACAGACCCACTCTGGAGACAGGCTTATTATCTTCATAATTTGATTTTTACTTCTGCTCTACTTCTTTATGCATGATGGATTCTTAAGTTCCATGCACACTATAGTCTTCAGATTTACAGATGAGTTGGGCAGGATCAAGGCAACACAAGCAGCATGTTTTACATTTGCTGGGCTTACCACTTATGGCTCAACGCAGCACATGCCCACATATTCCTGGCCACAAAAACCTGTAGGGAAGTATGGGCTCCCTAGGGGAGGTGAGAGAGGAGACTATATGGAGGTGGTACTCTGAAGTGCAAAAAGCATTTTGGATTTTTCCATCTGTGCTCTAGTAAATCACTTGTTCACGAGGACCACATAAATATTCCTTGTACAAATGGAAGGTTAAGTATAGTAATTTAAAAAAAACCCACTCTTGCAAATGTATGTATGCAATTTTAATTGACTGAGCTACAAAATGAAACCTTCACACTGTCTTATTCTATATGGAAAGAATTCTCAGCCCTACTCCAGATTCATGCTGGCAGTGGTAAGAGGAGAGGTATTTTCGGGGCAGAAATAGATTGACAGAGTGCTGATTTGACAGTAATAAATCCAAGATAATAAATTATACCATTGTTGGTAATTTGCAAAGGCGAGGGCGATTCTTCTGCATTTAAAAATGCTCCATGAAATTACAGGTTTCTGACTCCATTAAAAAAGAAACAAGTTTTTTTTTTTTTAGGGTTTGGATTCTATAACTTTTTAAATGCTACTTTTCTGTCTTTTTTTTTTAAAGGAAACTTATTCAGAATCAGCTTTTTCTCTTCCAACCACCTAATTTGTTCCCATGCTTCTCATAGGAGTGAATTTAGCTTCTCATAGAGAAGCCTTTGCAGAGATATTCTCATGGAAAATTCTTATGTGTTGATAAATTGATTTGTGATGAGACTCCAGAAATGAAAACATGGCTCCTCCCTCTCTGTGGCTGAAACTTCGTGGGTGTAACCCAATCCAAGGTTCACAGTCACGACTAACGGGTTGTATCCATCTTGTAAATTGTGGTATAGCTTTTTAAGGGACACAGACGAACAGCATCAACAATTCTTTGTTTTGTTTTTTTGTTTTGGTTTTTTTTTCAGAATATCTGAATCTTTTAAAAATTTATCTTGTATTGATAGAAAAGCCTTGCTGTAGGAAGCCTTTTTGTTAAGTAATACTTACACTTAATTCTGCATCTTTCTGTGTGGACCTACCTGGTGGTGGTATACTGGAGTCAGTGAACATGCTGGTTTCTGTGAACATTTGTTCAGTTTCATACCATTCAAATCAGGTGTTTAATGGAATCAGACACTGAAAAGACATTCATGTGTTTAGATATTTCCTGCCAGCACTTTGAGTAAGCAACTCACATTTAACAGCTAAACCACTAGAAAAGCTTGCCAGACACACACAGCTCTTAAGAAAAAGAGGTCAAGTTATCTAGTAGTTTCTTAAATAGTGTCCAAAGTTTTCCGTCAGTCTCTTAAGACTAGCTGACACTGTCAGTTGTCAGTATTTGTTGACTGCTATGAGTCTGTAGACTGCCAATGGCTGACAATGTTTCCCTTCAACTTTATTTACAAGATTGAGGTAGGAGCTCAGTCCAGTGCCATGTCTACACTAGGAAGTCTTAAGAGTAGCATTTCCACTGGGAGGCAGCTGCCATCATTGCGGTTTCACTTCACTGGGTGACTGCAGAGTTTGTTGTCATCTGCGTTGTCAGCACAGCACCTCTATGCAGCAAGAAGCTGCACTGACAAAAGATGTGTTGCGCTGCCCATGGGTGTTGTATGGTCTCTCACACCATCATTCATGGTGCTGCTGTTGGAGGCTTCGTTACAAGGCACTGTGGGAGCCCAGATATGCTCTTCTGTCATTCTGTAATCATTTAACATACCCTGTGTACGGGAATAGGTTTTTGCAGCTAATTATGTATGCTTTTTCTTCCTTAAATATTCTACCTGCCCCTCTAATCCCTGCCATAATTAGCTCTTACTTTACACTGTGTACTGTCTCTTCATCAGAAATGGAAAAAAGTACAGAGACATTGCTGGGAAACCTAGCCAAAAGGTACTACAGTAGTTGATACTGCTATGATGGTGAATATTGCAGTGGCCTTTAGGTTGCTCTAGTTCAGAGAAAGGAAAGATGGTTGCCCATGCTTGGCTGCAGATAACCTTTTCCCAGTGACAGAGTCACCGGGTTTTGGGCAGTGCTGTGGGAACCTGTGCTACCACTGCAGCCTGGACCAGCTAGAAATGTGCAAGCACAACTTAGAAAATACTCACCTGAAATCCTTACCCTGGTTGTGGCAGAGAACAGCTACGACCAGTAAAATCGTTTCTTGAAGATGGATCTACAGAGGGGTTACTTCTAAAGTAGTGTTTGTCTGCTAGGACTGCAACATCCATGCAGGTATTTTAACATGAAAGACCTTTCACCAGTGTCAATTCCCTTTGGGGAACTGGTTTAAATGCTAGGACTTTATCAATAAAATGTATTTGCTCCAACATATTCACTAACATAACATAAGTTTTATAGGTAGAATTTTATTCTGTTAACTAGGCCTAAACAATATTTTTTTTTATAAAGAGACTGGTAGGTATGACAACCAAACACTGAGAGACCATTTTCATATTGTAGATAGCCTATCTAATTCATTCTCAGGTTTCATAAAATACTTAGGAGCATGCATTTGGTTGCCATTCAACATCGACATGAGATACCTGATACAGATCTCAGCAGAAATGACTGAGTAACTGGATTTTCAGAGGGATTTGGTAATCAGTGTCTTACCTTCTGACTGCCTGATGTAAAGAACAACTGAATATGAGGTTACAGGATTTGGGGTCAACTAATTAGGACATTCGGAGGGAGTCCCGTATTGCCATTTGTTTAATCACCCAAAACATTTCCTTAGTTGGGATGTATAGAAGAGCAACCTCATAGGAATTTACAAAACTGTTAATAATAGTTTAAAATTTTTGTATGCATTACTAGGGAGTCTGGAGGCAATAATAGCAATATTTGAGTTTGGGTTGACCTCTTCAAGAAATTTGGGATTTTTGCAGCTGAGGGAAAAATGTAGAAAGTATTTCACTATTTACGAAACTGTGCTTTCTGTTCACTTAACTCTAAAAATATATGTCTTAGGAAGTATTCGCCACCTCTTCTGCAGCAGGAAGCTGTAGAAAATTTACAGCCTTACTCAGACAAAATTCCCAAGACAAGGAGTACAGCTATGCCATGCCTGGTTTTATGGAAGTGTCATTTGGGAGCAGTAAAGACTATTTAGTTATTTTTTATGTGGGTTTTTTTTTATTCCCTTTGGACAGAAAACACCACTTGAGAAAAAGCAGTTAGTTGCTAAGAATTAGCACTACAGCTTTAGGGGGGGTGTTACCTGTCAGTATTTGGTCAGTTATCATGCTATCGCCTGCCTGATGAGGATTATTTCTCTCCTTTTGCTTTCAGCGGCTGTGTTCCCCAGCACACAGACAAATCGAAGTGGAACAGCAGCTGGGGCAGTGTCCTTGTCCCACCCCAGTGGCCACCCCTCCCCAGGACGTAACATACAGGGTAGTCCTCTCCATCCTCCCCCCCAGTTACCTCTTCTCTCAGCTGTGGACTCGGAGAGGTAAGACCAGCCCCTGCTTTTCCCATGATGAGCCTGGGGCAGGACTGCCTTCAGAGCTGCCAGGATGGGTGGAAACTGAATTGTTGGTGTGCAGAAAGTCACTGGTGGCAGTCCCTGGGCAGCAATTGCTCTGGGTATGGGTTTACCAGAGGAAGGAGAGATGAAAGGGACTATGTTATCCCAGCCTGGGCAGGGAGGATCTCCATCCATCTCCATTTCAGGGACTTCCTCCAATCGTTTCTTGATCTCCACCAATGGTCTAAACAAAGAAAGACATACTGGCTGAGACACTAACCTTTAGAGGAGGCCAGCTATACCTTACAGAATGGGGGCCCTGAGATTCATGTTTCTGTTCACTTGTGGTAGGGGAGTCATATTCTGTCGATGTTCTCTCAATAGTAAGTACTTCTGCAGGAACTTAGCATTTTTTTTCTTGGCATTTTATTAAGACTAATAGGTAATGAAAGCATTTTTAATTCATTGATTTGAGAGCTTGATTTATAGTCAGAATTTATTTTATGCTGGCTAGGTACAAACCCCTTGACCTTTGCTGTTTCCTTGATTTTAGATACGTCAGTGATGTATGAGCAGGTTACTTGGAAGAGGTTTAATTTTCATGTTTGGACATTCCCTAAATTATTTTCAGCAATCTTTCCAATTATTTATACAGTATATGGCATTACAGATTTCCACTTAGTTCATTGAACCAGAAGTCTACCAGATCTCATGACTGAAGAAGCCTAAACAAATAAGTTTTCAGTGGAAAAGTCAGAAAGATACACCACCACACAAAATATTGAATTCTTACTATATGTATATGGATACTTAAACATTGTTTTGTTAATCTCCCTATTTTTTAGTGCTCTAAATGATAAATTGCTGTATTTCATTAATGTGTTTCAAAATGTTTAATTTCCTTGAGTGACGGAAATGCCAGTAATTTGGAAAGCACAAAGTGTCCGATTGTAAACCTGAAAAGAGCATTCACTAGATTTCAATTACTGAAAATGAGCGTAATTTTTTTTGGAGGAAAGTACTAGTCACTCTACCTTGTATCAGGAAGATGGAAGAACATGATGACTCAGGGAATTGTCAACAGGTAAAAGTACTTTTTGATTTCAGACTGCACATGTGAATTCAGCCAGTTCTGGAGCCACTGAAAGTTGTTGAACTTTTTGTCTGACATGAAACTTGCCATTATTTCATGATCATTGGAGCTCATTTAGTTGTTCAGTTCTTCCTCCCCACTCCTGGCCACATGGTCCTGACTTTTTTCCCTTTCTCTGGCCCTCTCTGCAAACTTGGGCTGTCCATGCTCTCTTGCCTGACCCACAGGCTTTTCCTTCCCAGTACAGTTTTCTCTCCAGTTCATGAACTGTCCAACACCCATATCCTACAATTGCCAGAGCAGGAGGTGACAGGCAGGGACAGTTCAATAGTTATTACAGGTATACATTTCACGATGAAAAACAGTGATCTCATTAGTCCATTTCTGAGGCAGTTACTGGTGTAGGACCATAGCAGACACATTTAGAGAACGACTTAACTCATTAAGTCCTTGAATGTGTTACAGACCTCAGGATACTACAGTACTATACACAGCAACACTAATAAAAAGCTAGTGTGATACACTCCTTTCTCATACGTTAACTGTATACAGTCTGTCTAAGCAGGCTTTAAGTGCTAATTCCCATACATGGAGCTATTTTGGATTAAAAAGAAGTGCCAATATCTTCATTTAAGTAGTGTAACAAATGGCAATTTAAATTCAGAGAAGAAATGAAAGTATTACAGCAGTGTTGGTTTGATTGTGGAACATGTCATACAAATTGAGAGAAATGTTTAAGAGAAAAACTAATACAGAATCTGCATCTTGAATCTAATACAGTCCACTCGCTTAAGGGTGCTGCGAGTAGGCTGTCATTTACACCACTTCACGGGTGTGATGATAGCTCTGAAAATGTGAACTGAACAAACCATCACTTCAGTATATGAAGTGCCAGAGATAGGCTCTTTGAAAGGTGTGAATCACCCTGTACATCCCAATCTTGTCATTGAAAGGATGGCCGGATTTAGGGTTGCAAGCAGGGCTTTTGTCCCCTCCATGCTGTGTGGTTCCAGATGCGCTGTGTGAGCCTGGAGTCATTCCACAGCTAGGACTGCCCTGAGCAGCGCTCGCCCCTGGGATAGCCTGTCTGTGTTGGACTGAAGCTGACCCAAGATGGCCTGGCTGCTTTGGCGACTCTGGAGGCCAGTTGGACATTTTGGAGAGCAGGCTCAAGTTTATGAGTCACAGCAGCAGCAGGAAATAATACATCTCCAGGTACCATAGAGTAGAGAAATAGTTGGAGGGCTTGTTTTGCATCTTTCTCCACCTAGGTGATGGGAGGGAGAGTGTGGACTTGGTTAAGCCTTATTAGTGTGAGAAACTGAATCAAATATGGGACACATCTTACACTACTTTCATTCTGTGTACAAAAGTCAATGTACAAGTCAGATAGAGAGTTTGGATCCAAGAAGCAACTTATCAAAGGAGAGAACATGAATAATAAAAATGCAGATTTACCTTTTGTTTGTTCCAGTTCTTTGATACTAACTTTCAGTGCTCCCCTAATATGAAATATTGCAACTGTTCAATGAAGGTACCAAACGGTAATGGTATCCAAAAGCATATGTTTAAAAGACAATATGTACTTTGCTTCCTTTTCACTCATTTTTGTAATAAAAAAAGACATAGGCATTCAAGGAAGCTGAAAAAACAAACTAATTAAAACACACATAAAAATGTTGGTTTTCTATGGCACAGTTAACATGTGCAGCTCAGTGCCCCAAAATTCATGGTGCCAAATGCTTGAAATAATTTTTTTTGTATTATTTTTTAATTATTTATTGAACTACCTGACATACACATATTGCTTTTTAAGGCTTGCTTGTGTGCAAGAAGTAGCCTATTCACCGATGTGAGACCAGAACAGAATTTTTTATTTGGACTTGGTGTTCCAGATGATTTTTTCACCTTCCTGTTAACCAGAGCTAGTGGTATGTCCCTGAAGCATGATGCATCCTGGCTTGACAGGAATTTCTAGAGACTGTCTTAAGCTGGAATGAAGAATTTAGGGCTGAACTGTTCAGGTTAGCATTACTGCTATGCTATAGTAAGTTCTGCAACAGTGCTTCTTTTTGCTTATTTGAGTGTGTGGTTATATTCCTTTTATGCTTTTGCTGTAAAATAATAAGGAGCTCTAAGCCAGACTTCCAGAAGCAAAAGCCTCTGAGTAGTTCTAAACAAGGAGTCGAGACATCCATTTTTCACATATTACAAAGTCCTTTGTATGTGGCACACAAGGGGCTGCCTCAAAGAAAGTCTTTAGTTAAAGACCTTAACAGTGTGGTTTTGAAATCAGTACAGTAATTTTTTTGCAGGTGTGGGACATTTCAGGATTGCCTGCTAAGACATTATCACTTTTTTATTAGTGAGCAAATGACACATATAACTGACAGATGGTAAAGAGTGGAGGTGGCAGCAAGTCTAACCCTAAACCTGAGCCATAGAATCATTGAATCATTTAGGTTGGAAAAGACCCTTAAGATCATCAAGTCCAACTGTCAACCTAACACTGCCAAGTCCACCACTAAACCATGTCCCTAAGCACCACATCTACCCATCTTTTAAATATCTCCAGGGAGGCAGACTCAACCACTTCCCTGGGTAGCCTGTTCCAATGCTTGATAGCACTTTGGGGAAAGAAATTTCTCCTACCATCTAATCTAAACTTCCCCTGACACAAGTTCAGGCTGTTTCCTCTTGTCCTATTGCTTGTTACCTGGGAGAAGAGACCAACACCCACCTCGCTACAGCCTCCTGTTAGGCAGTTGCAGAGAGTGATGAGGTCTCCCCTCAGCCTCCTCTTCTCCAGGCTAAACAACTCCAGTTGCCTCAGCCTCTCTTCATAGGGCTTGTTCTCCAGACCCTTCAACAGCTTCATTGCCCTTCTCTGGACACGCTCCAGCAACTCAATGTCCTTCTTGAGCTGAGGGGACCAAAACTGAACGCAGTATTCGAGATGTGGCCTCAGCAGTGCCAAGTACAGGAGCACGATCACCTCCCTACTCCTGCTGGCCACCCTATTCCTGATACAATCCAGGATGCTCTTAGCCCTCATGGCCACCTGAGCACACTGCCAGCTCATATTCAGCCAGCTGTCCACCAGCATCCCCAGGTCCTTTCCTGACAGGCAGCTTTCCAGCCACTCTTCCCCAAGCCTGTAGCGTTGCATGGGGTTGTTGTGACCCCAGTGCAGGACACGGCACTTGGCCTTGTTGACACTCATAAAACTGGCCACAGCCCATTGATCCACGCTATCCAGATCCCTCTGTAGAGCTTTCCTGCCCTTCAAGCAGATCAACACACCTGCCCAACTTTCTGTGTTGTCTGCAAACTTCCTGAGGGTGCACTCAATCCCCTCATCCAGATCATTGATAAAGATACTAAACAAAACTGTCCCCAACACTGAGCCCTGGGGGACACCACTTGTGACTGGCCTCCAACTGGATTTAACTCCATTCATGATAACTTTGAGCCCAGCCATCCAGACAGGTTTTTACCCAGCAAAGAGTATGCCTATCCAGGCCATGAGCAGCCAGTTTCTCCAGAAGAATGCTGTGGGAAATGGTGTCAAAGGCTTTACTAAAGTCCAGGTAAACAACATCCACAGCCTTTCCCTCATCCATTGTGGCAAAAAGCTATGCTTTCCTTACAAGTGTTTTTAAACCATGTTTATTTGATAGTCATTGATAGCTAATTGGACTAATCTACAGTGCAGTATGTTGCGTTACAGAATAGTGTACTACAACAGAACATTTCACCCATTGACAGTGGCAGTGAGGAGCTGCGAAGTCTGCACACAAGATAGGGTAGAGCCAAACCAAAATGTGAGATCACAGCAGAATGACAGGGGTGTTAAAGTAGAGAATGGAGACATTACCCCACATTTTCTGTA